CTCTCTCTTTCTCTCTCTCTTTCTCTCTCTTTCTTTCTCTTTCTCTCTTTCTCTTTCTCTCTTTCTCTTTCTCTTTCTCTTTCTCTCTTTCTATTTCTCTCTCTCTTTCTCTTTCTCTCTCTCTTTCTATCCCTCTTTCTCTCCCTCTCTCTCTCTTTCTCTCTCTCTCTTTCTCTCTCTTTCTCTCTCTATTTCTCTCTCTCTCTTTCTCTCCCTCTTTCTCTCCCTCTCTCTCTCTCTTTCTCTCTCTTTCTCTCTCTCTTTCTCTCTCTCTTTCTCTCTTTCTCCCCTTTCATTTCCATCCTTGTATAATGCGAGAGGGTGTTTTATGCGTCATGCAGTGGATGGAACCGTGGAAAAATAGGTTAATCAGACGATGTGATGGAAACGAACATTTTGAGTAATACTCCCGACGTTGTGTCTGGAGAATTTTAGTTTCTAATTGTCTCGTTCCAGTTTTCCTTTCAGATGCTTGACTTTATAATCATTAGTTCTTCGTGTCTTCCCTTGCAGAGTTGGGGCAGTTATTCCCAACGAAAGTCTGCTTCCAATGGACAAGAACATGTTATTAACAACAACAAAAAAGTGAGAGAATGCGAGGAAGTGTAATGATGACAATATATTAACACTACTGACGTTATTCTATAATGGAAACCTTTTGCAATTCCATTGTGTGTTTTACGATGTATTATCCTTACAAGTATTCTTGAGGCCTCATTAAGCTAGATGCAAGAGGAGTTGGGTGGTTTGTTATTTCGTCAACAGAACTTATGTACCAAATCTGTAGCTCGTTTTTCGATTCAAAATAATTTCTATTACACGGGAGCGAGCATTTCTGGTTATCAGAGTTTGTCCACAACGCTTGTTGCAATAATTTATTCTTAATTCAACTAATATTAGTAAAGGAGTGGGGGTTGGTGTTCCGAGGCTCAAGAAAACGTGCGCGTACAATACTAAATACACAAATGTACGAAATACATTAGTACACATACACTTAGGCTTTTCGTGGCCGGATTTCATTTGATGAAAATAATACGGAAAATTGCATTATTACAGAATATGAAAGGGATAACGCACAAGTATTGAGATTTTTGAAGACAAAATATAAATCATATAAAGGTGGAATGGAACAAAAAGGAAAGCCGAAAATTTACCTCTTTCATACATGTGCCATATATTTGACTGTACGATATCAATAGCAAGGAAAGGTAGTATAATCATTATCAGGCCGTATTATAGTCCAAAACCGGAGAATCTTGAAGCAGAACTTGAATAATCAGTCGCAGAAATGTCGCAATGTTCCTTAAATTAATACATTTGGCGTTTGGTTAATATTATTTTATTTGTTTTTGTGTGTATGTTATTTGCGATCGAAGTACCCTGACATCGCTTACTTCAAAGGAAAAGTATGAATTCCTTCAAAGGCAGATGAGAAATACATTCTGTACTATAACTCTAAACACTAGAAAGAAAACAAGGTTTAATGTTTGTTCATCAGCCTTTTTTGCTTAAGAAATAAAAAGAATAATCAGTTAATATTAACTAGCTTAGCTTGGCATCTCTGGCGGGTGTTGTCATGTTACAAGGTTTAAGTTGTGCTTTCCCGGTTCATAACGAAAATTATTGACATAACGTGTGCTTTTATAAAGTTCTTCCAGTATATCCTAGAGAGCACTGATTATCTATTGTGTGCCATTTCCAGAGGAATTGAATGAACTATTTATTCACCTCTGCAGGTGCCGTAAGTCGCCCAAAATGAGACGGACCAACGCCACCTACATTGTAGGAGGCGATGGACGGACAGAAAGATGGACAGACGGGAAAATCTTTTTTATTCTTGTGTCAAGATGATTAATAATATTTTATAAAAATGTGATACGTGTGTGCCAGATTTGGATATTAGTAAAGTTGCGAAATATTTAGACAAAGCGTGTGAGAACACTTATAACTTTATAGTACAACATTAAAAAATGGTTTGTCTTCTTTAATTATTAGTACGAAACGGTGGGTGTGAAATGCGTCTAAGAAGTAGTTATACTTCTGATTTCACAGTTGATAAGTTGTAACCGTAATTAGCATTTCTTTCTTTCAATAACGTCCACACAAAGAAGGGTAATTCTTCAGAGATTCCTTCATCTGTTGAACGCACGAGCCACCACTGCGTGCCTTACACGGATTAATTTTAATCACGATCTGTTTCATTTAGTGACTACGACCAGTTGGTAACAGTGATGTAACGTGTATCTGAAGTTAGGGGCTGAGCTACAATGGAAAAAAAACACTGGCTAAATTTAAATTGTTCCGAACTGTGGTTACAAACTCTGTATTCCATTTTACAACACGTGAGTGGACAACTCTATCGAACAAATGCTAATCGTGAGGTTGTGACAGGGGAAATCTGCGTTAGCAACACCAACTGCCGTCACTTTTCTGAACTACTTCAATCACGTGTGCAGTTTCAAATTAGTAAAATTTTGCTTCTCCAGGATCTCTTTTGTAATACACTCCGTGCCACTACAAGCAAGCCACTTCTGTCTATTGGTTTTTTATAAGTATGCAGTGTTGCGACAAGTATTTTTTTTAACTCCCATTGCATATCTCTGTCATTAGCTGGCAGCAACCCGTTGCAAAATAATGTTCATTATAAAAGAGGTTCTTGACCAATCACAGAGAAGTTTACAAACTGAGTATTGACAATTAATCATTGATAATCGTTCTAGTAAATGTCTCGTTCGATTGTGTACATTAAAATTTCATTTAATATTATGAAGTCTTAGGCTTCCGTGGCCAGAGTCATGTGAATGATCGGGGCTGTCCGGGTGACGCCGCGTCGACGAAGGCTGTGTTGCCGACGTTTCGACCATCTTATCGTGGTCTTCCTCAGTGCTGGCCTGCCAACTGGCGTCACCCGGACAGCCAAGATTATTCCATTTAATATTATATGAGGCTGTTCAAATTTAATTTCTTTTATTAGTAGTAATTTTTACGTGGGATATAATTTAAAATAAATTGGATCGTAATTTCACTTTGATCCTTTTTGACTAACGCAGTGATAAACCAAAGCCACCTGCGGCATAATAGGTTAGGGGTGCTATCTGCTATTCGCTAGGTGGCATTTACTGAATCCTGCGTATTAACTGCCACGAAAATATTCAATGTTAAAGTGTAACTTATAAAATTTACTGTAAGTCGTACAAAAAATACCGTATGAAATTCGATGTAATGGGTTTTAATACACTCATGTGAAGTTTACAATACTCGCTCATTCCTCGCTCGTATCGTAATATCATACTCGTGTATTAATACCATATTTGGATCATCGCTTCATAATGTACTAGACTGACACAGCCGATGACACAGCTGAAGCATCGCCAACTTCCAACGCGTCAGTTATTTGGTATACATGGGCCTAACAACGTTAGTAGGGAGTTTAAGTACGACATAGAGTACGGAAAAGTGACAGCAATATTGATCTCCTGCGCATAAGCAGAGGCTCAACAGTGTCGCAAACCTCGAACTGCGCCGATGTTGCTGTCGATTGCTTTAACGCCGCTCCGTGCTTAAACTGCCTAATAAGTTCATCAGCGCAGCGTGTCGCAGCGGAGGCGCAGCAGAGGGCGGCGGGCCGTGTTGCAGGCGCGGAGGGCGGCGAGTGCGCGGCCGAGTGGGCGGAGGAGGAGGAGGAGGAGGCGGGGCCCGAGGAGGGGCCGGTGTGGCGGGGCGCGTGGGCGCCGCTGCTGGAAGACCTGGCCACGCAGCCGGGCGGCCGCGCGCGCGCCGCCGCCGACGACGACCAGCCGCAGACGCCCCGCCAGGTGTCGGAGACGGACATCTACCTGCTGGACGCCATCGAGAAGCTCACCTACCGCATCGACTTCCTGGACAAGCGGCTGCGGCGCGTCGAGGCCATGCTCTACCACCTCACCGCCGCGCAGGACAGCGCGCCGCAGGGTAAGATCGGAACACTCATTTCTGCATGCATTTTAATTTTCGACTAAAATTATGTAATTTTTGTCGAACGTAAGTATATTTTTTTGTCGTTTCGTAAATAACTATTGCAATCTTGCACGTAACTAAAGCTCGACCGCTTAGAAAAAAATCAGTATGGCGTCGCTGAACTCGAGAAGCGTGACTAAGCGTTCCCCCGCTGCTCCCGAAGAGGAGCTCAGTTGAACTCGAGGACCGCCTGCAACCATAACTGATTCGCTCTTGCAACGCTGCTCACGCTTCAACTCTCTTGGGTTCGAGACGTCCGTCAAGGCCAGGCTGTCATCTCCCCACCCGCCCAGACCGAGGCGGCGGCGGCCATGGCGGGAGCTCCTCAAGGCGGAGAAATTGGACCTCTAAGAGAGGGAACCTTCCCCTCCGCCATTTTTCGCGCATGCGCAGATGTTATGAAATTTTTGATTTGACTGTTGATTTCATTTTAATTGATTTACATTAATTAAGAAAGGGTTTTTTTCTAAGTGCTCGAGCTACAATCAGAAAGTAAGTCTTTGCCATAAGAATGAAATGTTGATGGACGAGATGACAATGGAAGTCGAGACCGGCATTTTGAAATTAATAAGTCAAAGACACATTCGTACGTGTTGCGCATATTACTTTTTAGAACAAATTACTGGAAATTTACAAGTTCTAAACACTGTTGTAGAGCGTTCTTTTAGTTCCGTAATTTTGAAATCATTATCAACGAACTTGTTGTTACGAACGCGTCCATGTTGATTCAAGTCACCTCAGTGTTTGTTTAATTTGCAAAAAATTAGTTGTTTTAAATGGTTTCTTGCATCACTTGTATTGTAAATACTACGTTGTTGTTGTACGCGTACCGCGTAAGAGTTTCCAAACATTAGCTTAGGTAAGTTCTAGTTTGCACGCATGAGTGCTGAAACCATTTAGCATCATCCCTGTCAATGTTATTGTTCTTCACACTCGCCCCGAGGAGGGTTCTTACCTTTAGGTCTATTCTCACTTCTTTACTGACTTAAGTGTCTCAGGGACTCAATTTACGTCCCTCCACTGCCTCTGACCGGGAGGTCCTAATCCCGGTTCGAATCCTGACGGTCGCAGAATTTGAGACACTAGCTTCATAGCTAGGTCGAATTCAGCCGCTGTATGGAGGAGAATTCTACTGGCCGGTTTCTCTGATCGATATTTTTTCATAGTTGCTTCGATGATCATCAGAGGAATGCCGTATCAATACCCTAGCAAACGGGTCACGGCCCGCTCACGATCTTTCCTTTCATTTCTTTGTTCTATCGTCAATCCTTACTTATACATATACTTACAGGGTCTGTCCTTAAAGTAGTCGGTCTGAGTCAGTTACTTGCATCATTTGTATTTATTGAGAGAAATACTATTTAGATTATTTATTGAGAGAAATAATACATGAACTCAACATTCTTCAAAATACGATCCTTTTACATCCATACACCGTTGTCAGCAGCATTTCTAGCCCTCATACGCTTTCTGGAAGGCGGGCGTGTATGGCCTTTTCAGGATGATTTTGAGACGAGAGAAAATGAAAAAATCTGGTAAGGTAAAGACGGGATTGTAGAGTGTCTGAGGCACGGTTGCGATGTTTTGTATGGGCCAGGTACACTACCACACATGTTTGTGTGACTCGTCTGTGAGCACTCGCGGCAGCAACTTCGATCAGGTCGTCATTTGCAATTTTTCGTTCACAATTTCGTGCATTTGGGATTTGACGAGGTGAAGTTTATCGGAAATGATGCGAACTGTTAATCTGCGGTCACTGTCCAGCAAATTCTTCACTCTCGCCACATTTTCGTCAAGTTTGGAGCTCGAAGATCGTACTGAAGGAGCGTCGTCTTTAACTTCCTCTCTCCCATCCCGACACAGCTTGTGCAGTGGAAAACAGTCCATCTACCCACGGCGTTATCCCTGTAAGCCGTAATGATCATATCATGAATCTCTATGCCGGTTTTTTATCCGAGCTTAAAGAAAAAATTGTTGGCGCAGCGCTGTTCCAAAGATGAGTCATGACGCAGCGTGACGGGAGGAACTTGAAGACGTTTTGGAATCGAGCGATAGACTGGGAGCCCACTGCCGCTGGATTCCAACTTTTCCTTAGACCCCTCTACCAACACCAGGTGGTACCTGGCCAGGTGGGGAAACCGTCGGCAGTTCGTCGTTCTCCCTGGGAAAATCAGGATATCTGGTTGGGGAAAATCCCCCACTACCCGACGTGTTGGTCGGTGCCGGATCTCGCCATCCAGGGGGAAGAACGGGTTAATGGCCTTAGCGTTTGACGACCCCGGAAACGAAATAATAATTTTTTTGAACAAAGATGTTTTTCGTATTATTCGCAATTTAAGATGGAAACGGACTCCTTACAGTCAAATTTTCATAAAAAGCACAATTATTTTTATGGGCTTGTGTACTAATTTAAAATAATAATGTAATTGTTTGTAATAAATACTGACTTTCAATCGAATTGCTTATCATCAAAACATTGAAAAAACAAAGCTCATCTTCATATACAATAAGAGGAATATTGTAATTATCTATTTTGAGATTTCTTCCAATTTTCTTCCCAACTCCGAGCAAATATATAAAACGCGATAATAAAAATCCATTGTTTTATGGTTTCTTTCTTGTAAAGTTCATTTATATATAAGAAAAATGTAAACTGTGAAAAACAAGGGTGTGGTGTCACGCGAGTAAAAAAAACGATGTGCAGAAAATAAAAATACAGGCGGTAGGTAACAAATCGTTATACGTGTGATACAATTTGATCTGATACGCTCAAATACATCGCATAACGACACTCCTTAGACTACGCTCATGGTGTGAGATTACGCAAGGATTTTAACTTCCCGTTACGTGACACAAATCTGCATCCGCCTTCAAGTTTTCTTCGCGCAGTATCAGGATCCTTCTTTATTCACGTCATTGTACCAATCTTCCAGTCCTTGGATTGATAAATTACTGATGTGTTCTTCCCTAGATAAATAAGTAGAATGAGTGGATGTTGTACTGTTGTACAGAGTAATTCGATGTTAGATCAATTTGAAAGGAGCGCTTTATTGGATTTCTGGAAAATATTTCTAATACCGACACGTTGACAGTCGAGCTCTCATTAATAACTTTTACTCAACGTGGTGTATGCAAATTTATGAGTGGTAATTATTACTTCTTAGCAAACAAGCGTTCTGAAAAAACAAGAATTCTGATAACATGGGTTGTATGCGTAGAAAGTGACCAGTAATTGCTGGATTGACTTCATTTGTTCCGACATATTCAACGACTCCTCGAACAAAATAGCCTCATAATACTCTCAGGATTTATTGAACTAGTTCGAATCATTAAGGACAATTTCCAAGGGAGCGTCTGCGCTGGTTTTTTACGCTACTTATTTACATTATTTACACGCTTTCGTGCTTATTGACAATATTTTAGGTACAATGAAAAATTTAAATACTAATTTTGGGAAATGAAATTTAAATACTACTTTTATGAAGAGAAGGAAGAGTACGCGATAAAGTATAAATTTTCCGTTTGCAAAGTAACTAGACTAAATCATCATCATTATCATCATCATCACGCTCGACCTATTCTGTTTCCTTTTATATATTCGATCTATCTATATGGGCATGCATGAGACGTTCTTTGGAATTATTGTTCCATAACGTGATTCTATTTTTCTTCTTTTCAAGAATGTCTTCACATTTGATTTACTGGCACCTCATTTTTATTACAAGAATTTCTACAAGTATTAAATATTCATTGAAGAATTAATACAAGTTTTTCAAATGATTGACAACGGTGGTGATCACCTTAAAGAGTTTCGCAGAAATTTTATTTCAGCCTCTCTGATTCTATTTGTAATATCTTTCGTGCTGAACCATACAGGTTTGATTTGTTTCGATCTTTATTAATTAATTGATTAAGAAATAAAATGTTTATTGCTTTTCTACAATTACATTTCTTCATATATATCTTGGAATACACTGTGTAATGTTTGCAAGCAAGGAGATGGCGATTGTCATTATCCAACCATAGTGTAATACTATGTAGCACAGTTGCGTACCGTACTAACGTCGTCCCGTTCTGCCGTGACCTTTTGTGTTGCGAGCGGTGCTCGTCAATTTACTACACCTATAAGGAAACTGCGCAAGCAATTGGAGCAGTTCGGTGTGTTTCAGATCAGTGACATAATTAACATTAGGGATACAGGTGCCCATTACAGATACTTCGACAGTGAAACAATTAGATAATTATGCTGTACGTCATAAGCGCAGTTTGAGAAAGGAGAGAGGCAGGAAACCGAGACTTTTTCTAGGCAATAACAATATGGAGAATATTTTGAAGTAAAAAAATGAGTTTTACGTGTTTTTGTAAACAAGCAATTTCAACAACTCGTGAAAATACGTTTCATTTAAGGCATTGCTTTAAGTCGTTAAACTGTTTACCTTAACCCCATAGTCCGTTTTCAAGACCACCTCACCAACTCTTTCATCATCATCATCATCATCATCATCATCATCATCATCATCATCATCATCATCATTTCTCGAGGCGGCTGGTGCGCAGCCTGCGTTGAGATTCCGGGCGCGGAACACGACTATCGCGTCGCCGGCCCGCCATTCGAGCCAAAGGTCTTGTAATAATGTAGGTTGCCCGAGGGGCCTGGACCCCTCCCTGGAGCAGATGTTTTATGCATGCAGGCACGTCGTCATCGGAGGCGACGGCGGCGCCGGCGCCGGCGACTACGAAGCCGGAAGCGGCGGCGGTGGCGGCGGCGGCGGACCCGGGGGCGTGCGGAGGCGGCGCCGGGGGCGAGTGGCGGCGCGTGGGGCGCCTGCCCTCCTGCTACCGCTTCGCGCGCGACGCCGTGGACTGGAAGGCGGCGGCGGCGTCGTGCCGCGCGCAGGGCGCCGCGCTGCTCGAGCTGGAGGACGCGCGCGAGACCAAGGCCCTGCTCGCGCACCTGCGCGCCACGCAGCACCTGCGCGGTGAGACGCCCTCTCCACTCGAGCACACACACACACACACACACACACACACGTGTCTCGGAAAACTACGCACCGAGCACGGTCAAGGCCTCCTATTAAAAATTCTTGCCATTGTTGCATTAATGTTGATAGCGCTCAGATCGCTCTGAAACAAGTGAAGGGGCAACCCTTCTAGCATCTGCTGTCATTGTGGCAAATTTTACGTTTTATTTTTCGTAGCAAGATGCAGCTCGTGCTACCAACGTAATTTGTGTTGCTAGCGCTCTCACGGCCAATGTGCCAGTACGGAGTGACTTTCCTGGCGCTCTGTACAAATAACTAGGTTCTCACTCTAAAGAGGTTGGGCTAACTCCACTTCAGCCTGCTCTCTACAAGCGCCTCGCCCCGGCGCTCGCTTATAGCCAGTTCGGGTTACACGCCACCCAGTGAGTTTGTTGTCGGAGCGCCTCGTGTACATTGCACATTCGCGCTAGCCTGGGCGGAAAGGTTTGCAGTGTAGCTGCTTACCCCGCGAGTGGATTCGCGGTCGTCCTTTATATTGTGCCGAAACACGCGACTTCCTACATTACAGCCCACGCGCAGCCCTGACTGTCAACCGACGCTGGCCCGCCTGGCGACACCTTAGCCCCAGGTTCCGTTTCCTCTACAGGGAGTTCGCTGGATCGAGAGGAAGTTTATTGTTACAGTATATCGAGTATTAATTTTTAGCTACCCTCGTCCCCATACCTCGCCGGTGTTTTTTTCAACAAGGTCATTCATATAACGCCCCAGTAGAAGGACAGGAATATGCCCTTCCTTCACCTGAATATTTTCGTATGACTTCCTCAAAATCAAATAAAAGCTCAAAATAAATGTATGAAATAATTGTTTTACAAAAATACATTGGTCTCTATTGAAAATAATACATGTATTTCACAATATATGTTCCGAACACCCAGCACGTGGCGGATCGAAGATGTTCAGTTTTCGCCAACGAATATGTGATGGGAAGAGCGTAGGCTTCCGCGGCCGGATTCAGTGTTTAATTGGCTGTCAGGGTGACGCCGCGTCCATGGCAAAGGTGCCGACGTTTTGGTCGCCATTCTTCGGCATTACGCCCTGAGGAAGGTCGCAGAATGGCGACCGAAACGTCGGCACCTTGGGGTGAAAAAATGAATGCTGATCTTCTCAGTAGAAAAGTAACGTGCACTACATACAATCATGACATGGCATGATTACGATACAGATTTCATTATGATACAGGTTTTTGACCAATCACAGAGAAGCTTACAAACCAAGTATTCACACTTAATCATTGAGAATCGTTGTAGTAAATGTTTCGTTCGATTGTGTAGATTAAAATTGCATTTAATATTGAATTATGCTTCTCAGGTTGAATTTAATTTATTATTAGTGTTTTTTACGTGAAATATTATTTAAAATAATTTAGACCATAATATCACCTTGATTCTATTTGACTAGCGTAATGGTAGTTATTGCCGAAAACATCTGACTGACGTTAAGATCTAAACGCAAGTCATTTTGTCTTAGATGTAGTTACCGTGTGGGTGACCTTAAAGAACGGCCTATTCTTTAGCTTAAAATGTCTGGTGAATCAAAGGTGACGCTGAAAACTCCATAATTTTTAGAAAAAGAGAAAACGGCGACGTCGGAATTATTGCCTCAACGTTTGCCTCACAGGTTGTGTGGTAAAACAAAGCCACATGCGGTGGATAGGGTAGGGAGTTGTCCGCTTGGTGGCCGAGGCTGAATCCTGCAAGTCAATTGCCATGAAACGATTCAATGTAAAAATTTAACCTACAAAACTTACCATAAGTCGTCGAAAAAGTAACGCATGAAACTCGATGTAATGAGTATTAATACACTCGTGTAAAGTTTATGATACTCGCTCGTCCATTGCTCATATCGTAATATCTGACTCTTGTTTTAATACCCATCATTACATCGTTTAAAAATGTAATATTTAAATACACCAATTTTATGTATTTAAGTGTATTTCCAAAATATATGTCCAAAAAACAAAACAAAATAACACATTTTCACAAACAAAATATATTTATAATACGTACTTCAAATACAAGAACGAGTATTTAAATACTGCTCCACCCTGCCACCAAGCCAGTCAGTTGAGAAGATTGAATTGGCAGTTTCGCTTCTCTCTACATCTTGGTGCTCTATACTTCGATTTAAACGTGGGATCTGATGATGTAAAGCGGCTGTTACAATGCCATCCATTCGGGAGCTTGGATGACACCTACAGTAGTGACGTTAAGCTCCCGCTCGGATGACACCGTAAAAGGTGATCTGTCAAAGGTCGCTATGAATGTATATGGCTGTGTGTGAAGGCGCGGGGGCCTGTTTTGTCGCGCAGGCACGGCCTTCTGGACGGGCGGGCTGAACCCGGGGCTGCTGTGGCTGTGGGCCGGCAGCGGGCGGCCGGTGGCGGCCAACGCGAGCGCGGCGGCGGCGCACGGCGTGGGCGCGCAGGACGGCGTGCGCGGCGCGGGCCGCTGCCTGCAGCTCGCCCCGGTGCCCGGCGTCGCCTTCGAGTACCGCGGCGTCGACTCGGCAATGGCGCGTGCGCGCTTGCGTGTTGTGAGCGCGCGGAACAAACGCGGCGGCGCCGCCGGCCTCGCCCGCCTGGCGCGCGCCGCCTCGCCTGCGCCACCCCTGCCTCTAGCGCGCCACCGCGTGGCGAGGGTGCGGGAGGGCGGAGGATGGGGGTGACGAGGATGGGGGTGACGAGAAGGACGAGGATGAGGGTGACGAGGAGGACGAGGATGCGGGTGACGAGGATGGGGATGACGAGGATGGGGTGGACGAGGTGGTCGAGGATGGGAAGGACGAGGATGGGGGTGACGATGATGGGGGTGTCGAGGATGGGGTGGACGATGGGGAGAACGAGGATGGAGATGATGAGGATGGAGAGGACGAAGATTGATGATGGGGTTGGGGAAGGCTGACGGTGGTACTATACGCGCACGTTTTCTTGACCCCTGGATTACCTTCACCTACTCCTTTGCCAGCATTACTTGAATTTAGAATAAATTATATCAACGAACGTAGTAAACAAAATCTGTTAACCAGAAATGTTCGCTCCCGTGTAATAGAGACTATTTTGCATCGATAAACGAAATACAAATTTGATATAATATTTTGCCAGAATAACCAAACTCCTTCTCTCGCAACTAGCGAAGCGAGGGCTCAAGAAAACGTGCGCGGATGATGCTGAGTGTTAAGATAAGGGGCCATTTAAACAATAGATTCGTTTTTAGGAGTGAGGAGAGTATTTCTAGAACCATGAGAAAGGTGAGCAACGGGTGGGGAAGAGGGATTTATTTAAAATGAACATTCTCACATCATTTGGGATAATATTATTGCATTTTTAAATTAAAGAAATTAATTAATTTAACTATTACGTTTAGACTACATTTTTGTTAAGATCAATCACTAGTGTATATGGTGCTAATATTTTTTAAACAATGTATTAAAATACGGATGTAACACCCATTTTAAGTTAGAATTCTATTTAACTCAGGAAGTGCGTGTGAGAGGTTCGAAACGTGACGTTCATCTTTGATGTGAAGGGTTTTAATTGTTATGAGTTTTACAAAAGGGAGGGTAAGTTATTATAAAAGCTGAATGCTTCCGAACGTATTTTTTTAATGAATTTCACCTAACGGTGAATTACTTGCGAAAGGCCTTCGGCACGAACCAGTCTTGAAAACGCAGCTTCTTCTTGCAATATGACTGGTAGTTCCATTTGCAGTACTTACTAAGCTACCCACTATCAGTTCATTCGTAGGATGCTAGTTGGCAGCTCGGCTGCTGTTGTAACTGTCCTAAAAACTTAGGTTAAGCGACATATTAGATACAGTAAACCAGAGTTTTCGAAACACCTGGCACATGCAATATCTTTGGAATAGTGAAGAGAGTAGTGATAAAGATTATGGTAATGATAACGAAAGTCGTGTTTGGTAATGATGCTAATAATGACGAGTGGCGTAACGTTCAGGCACGCAAGGCCCAGGGAAGAGAGGGCCTATTTTTAGGGAATATTTTTATTATTGAAGATACTAACACTACATGTGTTTACTATACACTATTAAAAAGGGGCCCGGATAAAAGTTGCGGACGGACCAACGCTCATTACGTTACGCTACTGGCGATAATGAGTATAACGAGTATGATGGGGGTTTGACAAAAATACGGATTTCGAAGGTGTTTCTCTCCCGACTCCTCAATACGAAGAGTCAGCGCCCCATCCCTGCTATTTTTGGTTGTACTTTTATATCTTAGCATCGAAGACAGTCCTCATTTTTCACGCTGAGTAGGTAAGGAGTCTAGATTTCATAGTACATTTTGTCTCGGTAAAATCATAGAGATTTTAAAATTGAGTCAGTAGAGCAAACTTGCTACGAACGATTTTTATTAATTGATAAGCTTTTTCTACATTGAAATTAAACGTACTGCAGATGTAATCCAAGTCATATCTAGCACGAGTGTCACAGCTCCTAAATCCTGCGAAGAGACAAATACATGGCCAAGTGTGTGTTGGGGGGAGGTGAAGCTGCTAAATCCTCTCATAAAAAAGGCGTGGACGAGTCTCGTGATATAGTATTACACACAACAGTCTTGATGGGTTTAGTCTTGGAACAAATTTGTTGAAATTTGGGTCCTCAATATGCAAAATGCCCTGAAACTTAGAATTGTTTTCGACAGTCCTTTTCAAAACACTGATCGGTGCAGCGAAATCAGTATATCTTTATTGTTCAAGACAGAATTGAATGTAGTATCTCTAAAATATTTTGAGGGAAATAGAAAATGTCCATCTCTATATTTCTCTTGCTGTTCTTGACCCTTGTAACTGTAGTTATCAATGACGTTCATAAGATTACCCGACCACTTGATATCTGATTCCATCCGAAGATAAATGCAAAAATAAAAATATAGGTATATATTTATTTTAATGTATGTTAATATTTTATATGAGACCTATTTAATAGTTTATAATTAGTTTAATAGATGTATTTAATAGTTGGAAAATTCCACACAACAAAATTAGCTTCATTTTAAAAATGAAAGATAAAGTTTCTTTTTTACTCTCACAAATAAATTCCACGCTTCAGTGAAGTACAAATTCAAAAAGTGTCCAAAACTGCACTTTTGGATATTTATATGAAGTAAATTAAGAAAATAAATGAAATTAATTATTCTTTAAGAATGTGTAAATTATTTCTTATTGTACCCATAACATTTCTCTGTTGAAAGGAATGGATGCATATTATTCCTCTTTCGAACATTAAAGTTTCTACTGTAAATGTTCGAGCTCTGGAATCTTGTGTACTACGCATCCAATCCATTCTTTGTATTGTGCTCTTCTGTATTTGTCGCTCGAAGTTACAAACAAATATTTGACTACCATATTCGCCGCCGGCAATCGACACTACGGTTTCTGATCAGGGACGTTTACGACACGTGAAATGTTATGGCAAACATCGAAGTATATGCTTTAAATGCTAGTAATCGTACTTCCGCGGAATATTGTTTAAGTCGCAATGTTTTATTGATTAATTGAAGGTTCTTGCGATATCAAATTATGTGGCAGTCATTCTTGAATTTGATAAAATCTCTATCAATTTAGGAAACATTAGTTACACTTGTATATTACCATAAGCAATACTGAATTATCAATCTCTATCACATAGAACCAATTTTGTGATGCTAATTCCATCACAGATTGTTGTCAATGTGCTGCCGGAAATTGTAACTTCTCAGAAAACGTGACTACCACTGCACAACGCGTAAAATCTGCCTACACCTTGCCCGCTATATTGTGAAAACATTGTACATTACGGATTGCAACCGTATTGCAAATGTACATTACCAAAAGAATTAGGTATTGCAGGGATAGCAGTACGGATTGCAACCGTACCACACGAGCCAATTCAACATTTCTAAATTCAGAAGAAAATATCCCAGAGAGAAGGAAAGGCCGTTGAAATAACGTGAAAAAACTTTTCAATGAAGCTGTCATTAACGCGTCCATAACAAAACTTTCCAAAAACGCTCGATCTGAGATTTTAATATTACGTCACGAAACGTCACGCGGTACATGAAAGGTCCACTCAAACTGGCAATTGGAGCGCGCGATGCTGATATTGGCAGGCTGTTAAAATGAAAAAGTACGTTCCGCAATTGAATTTTTTGTTGTTGAAAAACTGTGACATTCATCTTGAATCCGTAGAAGCATAAAAAAAGGTTGAGTGCTTTCCTCTCCAGGAGCCGTATAGCCCATATTTGAATGAAATACTTCTGAAAATTAATATTAACTAGTGGTACTACAGAATGACACGGTCTTTCCCGTATTAGTTCTCTATTTCCTTTAGTCTTGGCTAGCTATACGAACTTGCCATATATTCTTGCCAGCTGTCATCTATCGCCGCCCAAAGTACATTTTTTTATAATTTTCTTAATTATTTTGGTTTCCTAATTGAAGGACCGAAATGTTATTTTAATAATATTAAAGAACAGTAAAACCTCGTCCTAATGGAAATTTGCTTCGAAAAATGTGGAACGGTGTTTAAGAAAAAGATGCTTAAGCACTACAGCAAATGCGAAATTCGAAGCACGTTTTCAGAGAAAAGTTTTGAGTTTTCGAAAAACTTTCATCTAAAGTCATTTGAAGCACTTCAGCTCACAAATACAATAGTGATTACTAATTGCTGAATATGTGCGTATTACCGGCGGGAGAGGCTTTAAAAAAATTACATTTGTGAAATATTTTTTAAAAATATACCCCGAAATAAACTTTATCTCATACTAAAGAGTGCAACTATCACTATCCTTTCGAAAAGTTTGAAGAAAAAGTTTGGAGCCTTTTTTTTTTAGAAAATGGCGTTTGAGCGTTTCTGAAATTGCGAAATTTTGAACTTCGTACTTTTATTGTACTTTTTATTGACTTTCTAATTTGCTTGTTCGATCTGATAGTAGTGCACAATGATAGTGATGTTTAAAAACAATGTAGAATTTGTATGGCAAAAATTATACATAACTAAAACATGTTTTTTCACTAGCTAATCTTGTAACTTTTAAAAACTGCCCCATGTACGGAGCACTTTTAAACATGAGTCATAACGTGGCACAGGGGGCTGACGTAGAGAAAGGCATGAGAAGAGCACTACTAGTCACTCATTTTGTGTGTGTGTGTGTGTGTGTGTGTGTGTGTGTGTGTGTGTGTGTGTGTGTTTGAAACCACATGAACTATATCAATGACTACAAAGCAGATCTTCCCACATTCTCCGGTATGACAATTTCATAACAAAGTTACCTTTGCAATTACAGCAGTCTTCTTTTGTGGATATGCAGATTTACTGCTTGTTGAATCCTCATAAACCTGTCGTAGGCGAGACCATCTACTCTTTCATGAAAATTTGTTTCGTTTTAATTGTGACTTTACTTTTCATACAAGTCTTCATGAACCTTGGCGAAGCTTTGAGAAAGGCGTGCACTTTGGGTGTAAGGATAACATTGCTAGGACCAGGAGTTTCCCCTTCATTGGGTGGTAATGATGTTCTAAATCTTACGTCAGATGGGCCGGCAGCTTCATTGGATAGATCTGTAGGTGCAGCCCTGGCAACAGATGGCTGAAAATCCTCATCTTTAATTGCAAGTCTTCTGGCCGTATCTGAAAACAAATTACCAGTTCCCCACCAGGAGACCAGACTCGTCGAATCACATTCATACGTTTCGATTGGTGCACGGGAAGTGGTCTAACCGTGAGTGACGGATCCGCACACTGTTATTCAAATACTGTATAGGGATTCTTTTTTTTTTTTTTTTTTTCAAAATACAGAAAAAAGTAAATCCTTTATAATATAAATTTGAAGATCCGCAAAATGAAATGTCTAAATATATATATTTTTTAATTGTCCCAACATTGTGGGAGAGATGCCCCCTCCCCCCGCATCTGGCAATGTCCACCATCTATCTGAATTTTCGGGAACAAATATTACGTCTATCTTCTTGCCTCTCACACCAATCTTCACCCTTAATTGGAGTACCAGGGTCCTGGGGACCCTTCATAATTTCTTTTGCGTCAGAATTTTGCCGCAATGGGTTCTACGCAACCGAAACTCCCATGTAAATTCACTTCAGTGTTTAGACTAAACTGTCTAATGTTTGCCTACGTTCTGATTAGTGCTCCGGTGTGTTGCTGTAATATTATATATTTGTAGGCAAAGGTAAGGGTCCCGTAGACCCCGACGCTCCATTAATTTAAGTATTTTAGCTTAGTGTAATCAGCTTTGTCGTGTATAAAATAGTTATTAGGAAAATATTAATTGCCTGTGAAAAATCTTATGTAACAATATGTAATGGTTGTACCAGACAATCTGAATACATTGCACTGATGGAACATAATTTATCTTTCAAATTATGGTATTTATAAAAATATTACCAGTGCTCTCCATTCTTACAACCAACAATAAAAATATATCCAAAGTACCACCAAACAAACAATATACATATAATAATTACAAAACTACTTACTACACAATCATACTTCGATTCTCATAGTCCCCGTAGAACCTCATGTGAAATTTGTTACGATAAAACGAGTTTGCGTTCCTCACAAGGGCTAGTCCAACCCGTGTGAAGCGTGCTAAACCTTTTCCCTATCCTTATTCCTTCCCAATTCTGGCCGATGGATAGTTGCGAGCGCGAAGACGCTTTCTGTCAGAGATTCCCTGACTTGACTATGACTGACCAAAGACTTTGGAATATAGTACTAGACCTACCCTCCTGCCTTTCCGAGCGCTGCAAATTGAACATTGCGGGGTCCGCCGTGTTGATGGCAAGTGTGTGAGTGAATAGCCGAAGCCCATGTGCGTTTATTTTATAATATAAAGTGAAACATTACGGTCTGTTCCTGGGCAGCATTCGGTTGTACAAATCGAAATTCGAAGTATTCCAAAAAATCCTTTCACAAGTAAGTAGATGTGAAATGCGTAACTTATTTAATACGAGTTAAAATGCGAAACTCATTCACCGAATGTATTAAAAGTATTATTTGAATGCACATATTGAGAGTTATATGTAAAATCGATATTACGTAGTTACAGATTCTCGCTGAAGAATAAACCCTTATTAGGAAAGTGGTTAAATGCTGTGAAAAGAAAGGGGCTTTCCCCCACAGATTACCATCGATTGTGGTCTGATCATTTCACTCCAAGTGATTATTGGATTGGGGGTAAAAGGAGAAATTTAAAACCTAATGCTGTACCTTCTGTTTTTAAAATTCCTAAACATTTACAGTATGCTGAAAATGTAATCGTTTACATCAGTGGTTTTGTGATAAAGCACCTTATTAAAACAATAAATTGTAGTATTTGCTGCGAGAGGGTGACTAGCATAGAGGAGAGATATATCTCTACTCTATGATGACTAGGCGAAACAGTAATACGGATCAGAGTTCTTTTCTGTTTATTTTATGAAGGAAAAAAAAGGGGGGGCTTCATATTTCATGTGAAGAGATAGTTAATATTTGCATTCAAACAGATAAGGAGTTAAGGCATTTATTGAAAATGAATGCATTTCCTAAAGAAAAAGAAATTATGTCATTGAAGCACTGTATTATAAACTATGCTATTAGGAAAAATTTATTTAGTGATCTTAATGATCACATGTTTGAGGAAGGGTTTCCAGAAAATCATATATTAAAAATTGTAAAGAAAACTGTAAGTTTTGTATGTTAAAATCAAGCTTTACCACTTAGCAGAATGTCACAATAGTTTATTACAAAAAAAAAATAATAATAATAATAAGAAGAAGAAGACCTCATTGCACAAAGTCAATCACCTTCATGAACCAATAAAACAATTATATTTGTCAAAAAAGTCAGTTTTATTACAACCCTGTCAAATTTCCCTAAATCCTTTCAAAAGAAAAAGTTCTCAAAATTATTAAATATTATTGGTTAGAATGTTTGTAATAATTTATTTTCCATATTCAATACTTCATTTCTTCAATTTTGTCCTGAAGTGTTATGCTAATAGGTTAATTGAAACTTCGTATTAGTGTCTAATTTTCCTTCTAAATCTTGTGTATAATGAAGTTGATGTGCTTTTAGGAAAATTTGTAAAAACTGAAAGATTGTCTTCCTGTCCATCATACTTCATTATTCATCAAAGGTTGTTCATGTCCCAATAAACATTTATATAAACAAAACCCAAAATAATTTAAGTTTATAACAAGCAGCTTTGCAGTTGAGATTAGCCATTAAATGTTCTGTATAAAACAAGAAAATGTATTCTCTGAACTTTCTGAATGATTGTCATTGATCTGAAGAATAAAAAACTTCGTTTTATTACAAATATTTTCGTATTGATGCATCTAACTGAAACTTTATTCTCGCTTTTATTTCCGAAACGCCGTATTTGTATGGGCAGCTCAGGCGCTTTTGCCATCATCATGGAGAACGGTGCAACATTTAATTTTTGTTGCGCATTGGACCTTCTTGACATTGGTATGTGGGGCCTTGTGACTGACGTAACAACACAGAGCTTATTAACGGAGGATTACTCTAGTGCGCTCAACGCTCCTTACGGAGTTTGGAGACGCGTTCCCATAAAGACGGAACAAATTAAGAATTAAAAATTACATTTTATGTAATTTTTAATAAACATTCGAAGATGTTCTTAATGTTCATACAGTTTTTATTTCCTTATATAAATATATTACAGCGTTCCAAAATTCGTGCAATTATTTTTTATTTTTTTAAAGCATTGTCATAACCACAATAATAATAATAAAAATAAAATTTCCCTTATGAAGGAGCAACTCGGAAACATAATGTCTACTATTTAATCTCATCATTAAATTATTCTTACTTTTAAATTTCTTAACACTTCAAACTCTCTCTCTATTTCCTTTTGTTATTTCACTAACATAAAGTACAAAAGGGATATTTTTGTATATTTCACCTCAGTTAAACCTTCATTTTAAATCAGAGTTCCTTGGACCCTGGTGCTTAACTTACATAATGAAAAAAAAAGGTGCTCCATTTAAGGGTTCATCATCATTGAAACATCATTTAATAGATACTATTGATTATATGTGTTAAGTTACAGCTTAAAATTACCTTAAACAGAGTTTCAAAGATCAAAAATTTCGAGATTCTTTTGTTGAGGTTACTCCAAGACTATAGTATTGGGAAAAGTAAACATTAATTACAGACAAGGAAAAAAATATTTTTGAATTGCATAAATAAAAACCCTAATATTTTTTATATTTTTTTTTATTTCAACTTAAAGGATCTTACAACATACTTCTTGAATCATTAAAAGAAGTGAGATATATTAGAAATTTTACTGATCTCACAAAACAATTTAGGATTATTTTCTGTATAAGAATAACTTTATACATTGCTGTGGTGATCTCACATCAAGTTGTAGGTAAAAAATTAAAGAAAATAATGGGATAAACTTGTAAGTTGTTACAATGAAACATACATCAAGATTGGGGCACAAATCGTAACAACAGTTCTTTTTCTCAGATAAGAGGATCACAATACATTCTAAAACTGTGACCAAAATGCATAGATGGTATTTTACATACATCAAGATTGGGGCACAAATCATAACAGTTCTTTTTCTCAGATAAGAGGATCACAATACATTCTAAAACCGTGACCATAATGCATAGATGGTGTTTTAGATGGTAGACATAGTGGATTGCATTGACATGTCATAAAAAGTAATTGAAAATGGTGATTTTTCAGAATATCCAATTGAAAGTAATTCAAAAGAGCATTGCCACCGTGATTCTTCCCTTCAACTCCATTACTAAAGTGAAATAGATATTGCACTCAACAGGGTTTGACACTTCTGACATTCTCTTATAATATTTATTATAAAGAAATCAGAATATTCTGTAAAAACTCTACATAGGTGCTCACATCTCTGTGTCAATCCTGTTCATAGTAGTATGAAGATGTCACAGAGAAACAATCTAGCACATCTATGAGAACATGAAAAGGAATGAACTTCAGCAGACCATCAACAACACTGTAATAACGTCACATTAGAAGCCAAAGTACTCCTATTTTTCCCTCTCTTGAAGTCACCTCATAATAATGTAGATAGTAGTCAATAACATAAATTGCTTAAATTCCTCTTCCCCATCTAGTCCACTACTCCAAAGTTATCTCTGGATGAGTTTCACCAAAAAATAGTTTTCCAAAGAAGGCTCATACATCTAATGACATCAGGGAACCACAGGACATCCCCAGTCATTGGGGTTTGGGGGCAAAGGACACTTTTAATTTTTTCACATAATCACAAAACCATGATTTTACAAAATCATAGGAACTACATTTGTAATGCCTAAGTATACCTCTTTATATTAAATGTGAGACATTCCATTAACAATCTTATTTTCAAAATTCTTTTCACCTATTTACTTGTTTTCTTTATCAAATCACCTCATGAAGAGTTCAGTCTTATTAATTTGCTGCGGCTATCACAAGAATTTTTACTGCTTCTCATTGCTACCAATTTTCGCAAATTACTTACTCTTGCTCAAATTGATTTTTCAACTAGGTTTACTTCCCAGAAATGCTCCCTGAGTTGAACATTTATGCTAACTTCAACTTTGGGTGCCACAAAATTCAATTGACCATTCTACCAATTAACATCTTGCTATCCTATCAGTCTGCAAGTAAACTTCATTGCATGTGTGCCATTGATGTTCTTGGAGGTGGAAAATTAAAAATGAGAATAGTGGTTTTATCTGAAGTAAAATAAACATATTCAATTGTTTTTCAACTCCCATACAAGTCACTTTTGGTCAACCATTTTCCAAATTGGCAAGCAAGCATTAATTCCATACAACTACTGTAGTCGTTGTCAGGACACTGAAATGCATCAGTCTGATATGATTGATAGTACATTTTTCATTGCTTTCAGATTTCATGTGACAAAAAAGTGCCTTTTAAATAGTAATGCCAACAAAATCAAATAATAAAACATTTTTCAGTAAAATAAAAATTTCAGGAAAATTATTTTCATCTCAACTATACTGCTTATTTAATAAATTATTACACTTCTTATTGCTTTTTAAGAGTTTATTTCTAGATCCTTAAAATATGTTTGAGCCTAAAAATTCAAGTCTAGTCATTACATTTCAAAAATCCATTGCAAATCATATACCCAAGTAACACTTAGGAATGGAGTGTGCCATCACATTGCCTCTTATTTTCTGTTACTTAAGGCTACAATCAAGGGTATTACTACAGACTCTGAAAGGACTCTAAAAATTGCAAGGAATAAGACTGTTTTCTTGTAACTTGTGATTCACACGTCTTGACCATTTAGCACATACATACAGTGATTTAGTTGGAAACATTACTACAGTGGGGCATCGATTATCTGAACTAACTGGGCCCAAGTATAGTTTGGATAATCGATAATACGGATAACCGAACATAAAAATGGCAAGTGTACATAAAATTGTGTATGAAAAGTTTCTTCAGGAGAACATACTATTAAAATACTGCACTGCAAATACAAAATCCTGTAGATAATAAACACAGGATTTGTCAGTTTATTGAAGTCTGATGATTGACTATAGTACAGTATCTCATTAATATTTTACCCCTGTCAAGCATAATGGAGATAATTCTCAATATTCAGTATAACAAAATAAAATGAATGCATATAGTATATAGTACCTAATTAAAAAAATAATTATTCAGAGACAATATGAGTTCAGATACTTTATATTTCGGATGATTCACATCAGATGGCCAACTACTCAACGTATTTACCAGAACACATCTCACTACTTCAGCAATTGACCTATGCTTTGTAATGGCATTGGAACTTTTATCTTTTGAAACAATACTTTCTAGAACAATGTTCTCATCCAACTAAAAACCAATATGTTCATGAAAATGCAATTTGGTTTGCTTCCAATACAACAATGAGAGAAGAAAAGATGCATGCTCCAATCTCCTGTGTATGTACATATATCTTTATATTGATACTGATAAATAGATATTTGTATTTTTTAAGTTATAGCCAATAATTTTTATGTTGACTTAGAAATGTACTTGTTCATAACATCACATAAAGTTGAAAACTTTAAATCTGAAGCAAGTTTCACAGCCGTATTTCCATTAATATCAGTTACTAATGGATTCAATCCTTTCTTGAGTAGAAAGAGCACCATTTCTGAATTGTTCTCTGTAACAGCTATGTGCAATGCTGAATAACCTTTATAATCGCAGGCTCTGCAAAAAAAAGAGAAGAGGACATTTTTAATAAGTGAAAATGCATGAAATGAAAACAATCAAACAGATACAAATCCCAAACAAACAGAAATTGCCAAAGCTCTTTTCTCCCATCTGGAGAGTATTCAAGATTATTATGCTGCTCTAATATTTTATTAAAATACATTTCCTCAGTAGTTTTTCCTTTTTTAAATGATACTGTACAAAGTTTAGAGAAAATTTAGGAAGATAACAATAAAAGGGGATTACTCTTGTTCCTAAATACACTAAATTACTTCTTGTAATAAAGGTGTTGTGGTGCGTTATCGTTGGCATTTTTCATGAAATAATTATAGACGTCATTGCCAACAATAGTATTTAATAAAAGAGCAGCTTTCGATGGCATAGCCATCATCATCAGTTGTCTGATACAAGAAGAAAAAACAGAACATTAAAATGTGAATATTCCTTTGATTTTACAACAAGATTATAAAGTAATAGTAAAATTACTATTAGACACCACTCCCACACCGCACCCCGCTGGGGCAGCACAGTGACAGCGCATCGCATCCATTGCCCTCCTCCACCCCATGGCCAGGTCCTTAAGCCCCTTGGCTCGCCCGACCCCGCGTAGTCGTTTTGTGGCTTCCATTCAGCAGGTATTCAGGTATTCATAGGATTTTGACCAAAATTGGTATTCCCAGATTGATCTGGATGTTGTTGCGGTCTTATAAATTGCAGTATTTTACAAGAAGCTTCTAGGGCACTTTCAAAATTTTCTCAAAATGGGCTCCAAGTTTCTTCAATTTTTTCTCAGTTAGAGAAAAGTATGCCTACAAAATTGGCACAGGTCCAATTTATCAACAAAAATTACAATATGTAATGACATTTTACTCTTCTACAATATTCCTAAAGTTATAAATCAGTTCTGCCATTAGGGGACTGAAAAATTGAGAAAGTGTCAAAAATGTAGTTTGTGCGGCAACAGATGGCAGCTGGGAAGAGGATGGGGCAAAACCGAAAAGCTAGCCCAGACCAAAGAGATTAGAAAACTCACTAGTTCTAGAAATTCTGTGCCAATCTGTAGCACCACTAGCTTTTATTATTGAAGCTTCTCAGAGGTATAATTTAGTGGAATGGTCACGTGTGAAAAAATTGATAGCAGGTCTATGGCTTAGGGTAAGGATCACCCAATTATTAAAATTTGTACAGAATTCCCTCCTCCCCATGGCTCATCATAGTTTTTAATGTCAAATAAAGAAATAAATTATAAAGAATAGAATAATAAGAACATGTGTAAGTAAGATAACAGATTTCTGGGAAAAGGCAATGTCATAAACACATCGTATATCCTTTAAAATGTATCGTTAAGTTGTAATTTTGAAACACATTGAAACACACATGTAACACATTAAAATGCCATATTATTATATGAAATTATGTTCTGGCATAACTCACCTAAGGCCATATCAATTTTTAAACTTTAATTAGAACCATCATGCAAGATCAATTAGAATTATGATGCAAGTTAGTAGAAATACAAGTTGAAGGCAACTTTTTAAAACACTACATATACTACCCTTTCCATGTATGAACACTTATCTACGACGATGCGATAACGTTTGATTGGCACACTCTAGCGGATACTAAAAGGAGCTTCATTACGCAACTAATGCTCTCAAAAAATTCATAATAGCACTAATTGTGTTATAACTAAAGTATCACACATTTTTATGGTCAAAAGAAAAGCGTTGTTTGAAGATAACCATATTTATTATTAAATTCATTTAACACAAATTACTTATTATAAATATTAAATGTGGCATTTGTACAATATTTCTCTTAAACGCTAATCACTTCCTGCTTTCTGCAAACGTTTTGCAACATCTTTCCTTGACACTTGAGTTTTTTGGTTGAAAACATTCAGACTTTCTTTCATGCCATATTATTAAATGAAATTATGCATACAATTATCATAATAGTATTTCATACAGCAATGGGTTCAAGCATATGGGTTTGTGCTTTGTAGCTGAGATTTGAAAATGTGCCAGAACTTTTTCATTGCTAATTTTTTTTATTTTCTTGCATACATACGTTCATAGGCTTCTTTCGATTTTTTAGGTAAAAGAGAAGGTACTCATATGGAGTACTCTTCTGTATCTGACAGAATATTATCTGAGATATATTCAGACATTTTAAGATTAAAAACTAGCAAATCTCATTCATTTTCACTGAATGTGAAATGTTAGTAACAATGATACCAAATCAAACAATCACAATTGCATCATATGAAACAATCTCAATGCACACACAGCACCATGTCTTCAATCTATATAGATGTAACATTGTAGATAAAAGTCTGAATCGTATATGTTTGATGTAACTTAATAATGAGACTCGTATCACTTTTTATTATGATGTTCATATGAAACAAATATGATTAGGTCCTCTCCTATTAACATCTTTATTAATGACATATGCAACAGTATATTGGTCTTGGAGTACCTGCTTTTTGCTGGTGACCTTAAATTTTTTTAAAAATCCAATCTGATGAAGAGTGAGTCCTTAAGCGAAACACTCTAATTGCCTTATATGTATGGTGTGTGAAAAACAACTTTTTTCTCAATATCGCAAAATGTAAAACTATAACTTTTTCAAGATTTAGATTAAATGAAGCCTCTTATTATATGATGAATCTTACTCCACAAGAGAAAGTCTAAACCATTAGAGATCTCGGCATGATTTTTGATTCCACGATGACTTTCAATGAGCTGCATGAAGGCTGATAGAATTTGAATGAATTCTGAATGTGTAGCATAATGAACTTAATTTAGTGTTTAATTTTGTTATTTGTACATTCCATTTGGGGTTTGACTGAATTGAGAATTTTATTTCTATAATATATTATTATTTATTTCTTTGCTTTACAATTTCCACAAGCTATTCAAAAATATGCCTGAGCCATGTGTGGTCAAAATGGGGTCTCCATTCTTTCTTAACAAACCGTAACTTTTACAGTATTGATACATTTTTTAAGTATAATGTTATTTACTGTAAAATGTACTGTAGTATTTTAGGGATGCAGTTCTTTTGTATTCAAATTGCTGAGTCATTGAAAATTGGAAGATTTAACTCCTTGTTATAGATTAATGTGAAAGTGTTTCTTTATTACAGAAAGTTTACCTCAATATAGGGTGATCATTTCATATTAATCAAAGGGCAAGGTTATATTACGAAGATGGACAATGTTTTTGAAAAACAGCATTTTGAAAATAAATGTGCAGAAACTTGGTACATCTGAGTGTACTTCATTTACTATGTGAATATTGTTTCGTATCACACATTTAACATATAAAAAACTTTTAAAATAGCCTTATACTCACTGAAGAGCCAAACTGGTACAGCCATTCATATTGAAATAAAGGGATCTGAAACCAATCAAAATCGGCGTTCCAATCAGCAACGACAATATAAGACAACCAGATTCTGGCACAGTTGTTAGTCCGTTTACTGCTGCTACAATGGCAGGTTATCACGATTCAAGTGGGTTTGAAGTGGTGTTATGGTCATCACAGTAGAGGTGGGGCACAGCATCTCAGAAGTCCCAATGAAATTTGGATTTTTCCATACAACCATTTCACGGGTGTACTGTGAAACTCGATAATTCATCAAAACATGAATCCCCCGGCATCACTGCGGGCGCAAAAAGATTGTGCGAGGACCGGACCGAAGTAACACCCTTCCGCAAATCGCTGCAAATTCAATGCTGAGCCATCAGCAAGTGTCAGCTATCACAAACCATCGTGAACCATCATGAACAAGACATTATCAATATGGGGTTTCGGAGCCAAAAGCCCACTCGTGTACCCTTGAAAACTGCACAGCACAAACCTTTACTCTTCGCCTAGGCCCAACAACGGGATTGGACTGTTGATCACTGGAAACACATTACCTTGTCTGACGAGTATTGTTTCACATTGTTTTGAGCAGATGGACGTATTTGAGTATGGTGAATACCTCATGAATTCATAGGATCTGCCTGTCAACAGGAGACTGTTCAAGCTGGTGAAGGGTCTGTGACGTATGGGGCGTGTGCAGTTGGAGTGATCTGGGCCACTGATACGTATATATACGAATCTGACAAGTGACACGTATGTAAGCATCCTGTCTGATCACCCGCACTCTTTCATGTTCATCTTTCAACCTGTGCTGTTCAGAAGAAATATCCATTCTGGCTTGTTCTCTTGTGAGTCTACAGACAGCCCTGCAGGATTCATGGTGTCAATTACCTCCAGCACTACTTCAGATATTAGTCGAGTCCATGCCACGTTGTGTTGCAACACTTCTGCTTGCTCATGGACGCCCTATGCAATATTAGGCAGCTGTACCAGTTTTTTGGCTCTTCACTGAATATGTTAATGCAATAACAATAATGATAGTGAATTTAACAATGAAATTACTAAAAACTTGCTTACACTTCTTACAAACTCTGAGGGAGCATGAATTCCCCCACAAATAATTTGTACAATTATTGCAGATCCTACAGACCCTCAAATTCTCCTGAGCAATAAATTTAATTTAAGCTGCGGTAGCATAGCTCTGAAGGCCACAGCAAGATGGCCGAAACGTCAGTACAATTGACCGAGACACGGCTCATCCCAGATAGCCAAAAATCCATTGACTCCAGCCGCAGAAGCCTACGAATCCAATAATTCGATATGTCGTATCCATCACATCTCGTTGCAGTCAATTGTCAGAAGACCGCCAAGTAGCAGCTCCGTGTAAGCGCCTTCTACTAGGCGCCCCTGCATCACTACTCAGCGGCCAGAATTGGGAAGGAATTACTATTGGGGTAGGGGTTTAGAACACTTCACAGGGGTTGGACTAACCCCTGTCACGCGTGCAAAGTCATTTTGTCGTTTCAAATTTCACATGAGGTTCTACAGATGATTCTATGGGGATCGAAATGATTTTTTTCCCGCTAATAATAATAATAATAATAATAATAATAATAATAATAATATATTATTATTATTGTTATTATTATTATAACTTGGAAATACAATACAATATTAATAATAATTATAATAATAATAATTATAATAATATATTATTATTATTGTTATTATTATAACTTGGCAATACAATACAATATTAATAATAATAATTATAATAATAATAATAATATTCTATTTCCTTTTACTAAAGTGACTTGTCCAATGGCATACATTATGACGAGATGGATAACCTAAATATTGTATTCGAATCTATGATTTTAAACTGACAAAAGAAATTAAATAATCTCAACAACATTCAAACTAACTTACAAGGTTAATGTTTTCCTTATATTGCAAAATTCTTAACAAACCTTTAATCAATTAACATTTAATTATATATATAAAATGAAGACAAAAATCAGTAACACTTACTTAATGTCAGCCCCTTTATTCATAAGTCTTTCAAGCAAATCAATATTTCCACATTCCACAGCCAATAATGCAGCTGAACGTCCATCGCCATTTCGAACTTCCAAGGACATACAATTAGTATCCAATAATTGCACTGTCTCTAAGAAATTCCGTTTACTGATGGCCTCCAACAAAGCCTCTCTGGCAGGTTTTCGTTTTCTTCCCAACCAAGGAGAGCCTCGGCCACTTATGGGAGATGTCAAGCTTCTTGAAGAAGATGTTGATAAAGCAGGAGAGACACGTGTGTGAAAAACTTCACTTGTTTTACCTGAATCATTTTTGTTTTTCGCATTAGATTCATTTTCAGCATTTACTTTGTCACTCTTTGGTGAAGCTGAAATTAAATCTTGTGAAACACTCCCACCTTCTTGGGGGTTTTGAGAATCTATGCTGTTTTGTGCAACACTATCATTATTACTAACTGTTTCATGCATTACTGATGGTTTATTGTCATTCTTGTCCATGTTCTTCACAGATGTATCTATTTCAACACCAGATAATTCCATATTTCCCTTGTTATCAGATTCTTTATTTATCATGGGAAGAAATATACTTCTCTTAGGAGACACTGAACTGCTATCTTGTATAAACTGATTTTCAGAACATTCATTTAGTGAATCAAATGCAATAGCAGTATTCAGAACATCATCTTGTGGAGTTTCTCCTTTATTTTTTTCTTCATGAACATCGAATGATAAATGAGTAACTTTACTATTTATTTGAGGCACACATACAACCTGTTCCCCTACGTTCATACCTATACTCGAGGAAACATTAATTTTATTATTAAAGAATGCTTTTACAGGTTCTGTCAACTCATGATTTTTTTTTGAATTGCCAGATTCTCCAGTGTCTGTGGAAGTATTAGCATTCTCCTTCAATAATAATGCATGAAAGGACTCCTTTTCTTTTTCTAATATTTGAAATAATTCATCTCCCGATATTTCACGGTTTTCTGAGTTAGGAATATCTTTAGACAAGTCTACATTTTCATCTGCATCTGATAGTTTTAAGCTGATATCACCATTTAACATTTGTCCCACAGCACCAAATGGAGAACTTCTATTCATCCTTACATCAGTTTCAGTCTGAACATCTAGAGGTGATGGCCAAGTTCTTACAGATTCAACACCAAGAAAGCTTCTTTTATTGTCAATGTTACCATCAATTAATTCATATTTTTCCTCAATTACTTTCTCTCGTTTTTCAAGAAGCCTTTCCCATTCCCTTAGAATATTTTTCTCTTTTTCAAAAGTGTCCCTAATGGCTTGCAGACTTTCTTCCTCAGATTTTAAAAGTTCTTTACCTTCAGAATACTCCTTCCATTTCTCTTGGAGAATTAGTTCACTATTTACAACAGTATTTTCTCTCTCTTGAATAGATTTCCATTTCTCATCAAATATTTCATCAAACTTATTATGTAACTCTTTATTTTCTTCATCTGGAGATTCAGTTCCATCGTTTTTCACCCAATTACTTATTTGTTGAATAATATTTTTTTCTTTTTCAATTATCACATTTTCTCGCTCATTTAAAGACTGTTCTTTGTTCTGAATATATTCAGCAACAGTAGATAAAGAATTTTCTTTTTGAGTTATTAATATATTTTTCTCATCTAGGGACTTTTTCTCTTCACAGATACTGTTCAATTTCCTTTCAACAGCCTCTTCAATCTTTTTAACTACTAGCTCTCTTAAATCAAGACTGTGATTTTTTTGAGACAGCAACTCTCTTTCTTTATTAAAAATTATTCTTTGATTATTCAATTCTTGTTCTTTTAGGGCTATGCTTTGCTCTTTCTTCACAATATTCTCCATTTTTTCAAAAATAATTTTCTCTTTCTCTTGAAGTAACTTTTCCCTTTCCAATAAAAATTCATTCTTTACATTCTCATTTCTCTGCTGCTCTGAATTCAAAGAACAATGACCATTATCAGATAAACTAGAATTCCTGCTATTCTTTTCTGAATTATACACAGGTTCTATTTGTAAAACCTTCCCTTCATCATACTTTAATTTAATTTCTTTTTCATTTAGAACTCTACTTTTTTCTTCTAGCATTAATTCCCACTCACGTAATTCCTTCTCTCTTGTATGTATGATTTCTTCTCGTTGCCATGCTATTTCCTCTCGCCTTGCTAGGGTATCTTTTCGCTTTTTGCAGACTTTGCATGGTACCTGAAGCAAATCAAAAGTGAACAGTCAATAAAAGAACAATGCAACAATGGTATATTATGATTATGTAATGATAGAAATTAATACTGATTATGAAGTATAATCTGACACTCCTTCCTCATGAAAGTATACAATTACCCAATATTTTTTCTACAACTAATGATAACTGTTAGAAATTAAACCTTAACACTGAAAAGTTACATGGGAGCTGGCTTGCAGGTTTCCACCAACACAACCTAGCAGAGAGCCAACTAGCATTAATTGAACATAAGCACAGTTTGACTAAACAAGCAATTCACAAATTAAGATCCAATTAATTAAAGATATGTTGTCAATGTTGAATATCTGTTCTGATGTCTTATAAGCTTAATATCTGATAGAACTATTGTTCAACTAGGGTTTCGGTAATCTGAATTTTGAAAAGAGGTGAGGGTATGAGAGGTTTTCTGTCAAAAGCAGAGTTTTCTCAGAACACAACCCAAACATTTTACACTTACGACTATATATCAATGACTGATTGATTACATATCAATGTTGGTAGCTAACTGTGATTGCCCAAACATCTATAATAAATCTCTAACATAATGACAGTCATTATTGAAAAGAGCTACAGCAATTAGACAATTATACAATGGGAGTAAAGAATTATAATTTAAAAACTGATCCCTTAGATGTTACATTACAATTATTAAATATTCACAAGACAAGGATAAAACCAAGAAATTATACAGTTCAAAACATAGGTTCTTAAATATAATACAGACTTTCTCATAGTACATGAAACAGTTGTATTAAACTGAATTAATTAGACTGAAAGTAAGGAATCCACTTCTCTTGACAACCATCTTTTCCATCTCTTTATATTATAAAATTTAAGAAGCTTTAAACACTGCGCTTAGCACAATACAGTATTTCCTTCCTACTGTGCAAACAATTGCCAACATTTCAACCAAAGCTTATTAATTTCTATCCAAGCTTAATGGAAATAAGTCACATATTATCATAGGGCGTTTCTGAACTAGCACTTCAAAAATCAAATGTGGGTAAGTAGGTCAGAGTGGCCTTAATGTAATTATCTTATATAAAGAAACAGAATCAACATTAGTTCATAGAAATATTTCCAGAATAATAAATTACATATCTAAATGGATAACTAGAAGGGAGAAAATATTATTAATACTACAAAATTATGTTCGCAGAAAGTTCTTTTTTTAAAATGCTTTCTTAACCCTTATGGGCTTATGACCAATAGTCACTTACACAGGTGAACAGCATATAGAATATGCCATTTTATTGGTTTGGTATATTGGCAACTACAATGTTTTCAAATAAAATATTTATTACACAAACATATTTTATCGCAATATTATCAAATGTAAACAAAAGAAATAAAAATGTAACCAAAAATAAATGATAAATGCACAAAAATTTGATGTTTCTTCAACATTTTTGTTTGTAATGTTCTAGAAAATTTGCTTTTTAAGGTCATTATTTTCCCTTTTTTTCTCTTGCGACTTCCTATATGACTTATTATTTTCAAAAATTATTAAAGAAGCGTTATCCACTACCTTCAGATGAACTAACAGTTTCACCATCACCAATGACTCGTATAGTACACAGATTCTCCGCATATTCAGTCATAATAGAACATCTGAACAATTTCTTACTAACACATGAGTCATTGTCTTTGTTTTTTCTCAGATCTTAAACTCGAATTATATATGTTTTTCTTAATTTTTCATATCTATGTAAAATATATTAATATTCAATTAGCTTCCTTATTTACAGAACAATCATTTATTCATTACATAATCTATATAAAAGAACTAAAAAGAGTTCAGAAAAAAGAAAAGAGCAGGATCACAGGTAGCCAAATACACAAAACGTTATGTATTGACTCAGACGAAAGACAGATGGTAGGGAATTAGATTTCTGCATTTCTACAATATTGAAACTGCAGGAAAGAGATGCTAAGAATTACTCTCTGGCATACTCCATTGAGCACAAGTATACTTCAATGTTAAATGTAAATTGTGATGAAATTTTCTCAAATAGTTACACCAACTAGAGGTATTCCTTTTCAATGAATTATAAGAACAAATAATTACTAGGACACTCAAAGCTGAGAATAAATACAGCACAGTGAAAATCTGAGATGAACTGAGCAGGATTTCAGTGATACTGATTATTATACAAAAGTATTATGTAAGAGAAGTGTATGTGTATCTAAGTGAATGTATTATCATGTATTATCTAAGAGAAGTTGACATGTGTTATTTACTCACAAAATATATTGGCAATATCATATTGTGAATGGAAATATTAACAATATTTCACAGTATTTGAAATAAATATTTAAGTTTTATTTTCGCTACATTTCCCTTGATCCCAATGCTGAGATGGACTTTTGCCTAGCTTCTATACAATGAATGTTGCTTCTCCCCACTCTTACAGTTTTTTAACATTAAATTAATAAATTTAAAAATGCAAGCTATTTTTAAATATTTCATGTAAATATCTTCTTTAAACTACAATTACTGTGAATAAGTGATAAAAATATCAAATTCAATGGTACCTGGAACAATGGACACCTCAATTAAGCTGTCACCTCCATTAACAGCTGTTTCTTGTAGTGCCGATTGATTTTTCCACTAGTCTATCCAAAAATTTTTTCATAGAAAGGGCCCCCTGACCTTGCAGCCAGGTGCATTTAATAGGTAGACCTCCATTAAGAAGTCACTTCTAGCAATTTTTAACTCTTAAAAGCAATTTTCTACTTGAGCATTTTCTACTTCCAGCAATTTTAAACAGGAGGCGAAAATGCTAGGTATATACAGTAGTTTCATTAACTTTTTATGGCGGGATGTAGAATCAGACTACCAAGCACTGTCATCTTGAGTTGCCTACATGGCAGGGGGATTAAATTCTGTTTCAAGTTACAAAGATTATTTTATTTAATGTCTTAATAAAATAATGATGTGTTAGTTTTATTCATTGCACTGTATCCCTGTGAAAGTGCAGACCTTTGCTCTCCTTTCCAGTGAGAACGTGCCAACCACCTGCATAAATCTGTTCTGAGGGTCATTGTTACTGGAACTCCTCCTTGGGACAGCCCTTCCCATAGATCATGAACTGCATGCTGAAGTCATAGTTTACATGTAAATTTGGTTTGGTTAGAATAGAAAGTGAAGTTTGCAAGTATGAGAATAAATGAGAAGTCAAGGGGAATTGACGTTAGCCCAGAGAAGGCAAGTGATCCTAGAAAACAAGAAAGGACATAGTGCCGCCTCAGAGAGAACATACTGACATTTTAACTGTGGAGGGACACAAAGTAATGAAACTATAAAAAAGGGCTCACTTTCAGGAAGTTCCAAAATCTGTGCAGCTAAAATACATGTAAATATCTTAAATAAACAGCCCTACAAAACTTTTTCATGGAAAAGTGGGTAAAATTACACATGAACAGACTTTTTAATTGTATATATTTTATAATTCAAGGGATATTTGTTGTGCAGGTTGTCTTTGTAGTTTAAGGTAATTAAAATGACCATGGAAAACATTTTATTTCATAGTTATTGACACAATTATACCTGATCTATGCTTCCCTTAACCTCGTAACTAGGGCTCAGTAGTTTATGCTGCATCAAAAGAAAATACATGCAAGCAAATATGCTCTAAAATGTATAAAATATGCACATGAACTATTGAAATGTGTTCTAACTACTAAGTTTTATGTATTTATGAACAATTGCAAAATTTTTAATTTTAACAATTATTTTTGCATTTATGTCTTCACTCAGTTTTCCAGCATTGATTTTTCAAGTAAAATACAATTAAAATGATTTCATTTGTATCATTGTTGAAGTATCAATTCCAATTCTTTATTAAAGATAAATGATCACATCATTCATAATCGAACAAATCTTTTCCGAGTACCAGCAACATGATATCATCCAAAGTTCAGACAAATCATTTAAAAAAAGTTCATATTGCTGCAACAATTTCTCATGATGCTCTTGCATTTGCATTCACATTTGTGAAGTACACTTATTAATTTGAGGAGGCAAATATGCATATTTATTGAAATATCAAGTGAAATATACGACATTAACAACAAAAAGCAAAAAATATGAATAACTTAAATATAATGGAAATATGATGCATTAACACAAAATCCACTAAATATGCACTAATATGCTGTATAAAATCAACGAATTTCTGTTTATATGATTGTGTTTTGTGGACATTTGGTAATTAGCACATGAAAAGCTCACAATTAAAAATATGATTTTTCATAAACTTCTGGACCTTACTCATAACCTTGATTAAGCAACCAAGTACCTAAATTGTTCATAATGAAACTCTTTAATTTTTGTTGGAACAATTAGTAATTGCCTGTTTCCTGGCTGTTCTTGCTTGGAACTGAATGGTTCCATGGCAATTTGTGGATTGCCCAACACATGCCTTTAGTTCGCTCCTGAAGCCAATGATACATGTACAAAAATAACGCTTTTAACAATTTTCTATACTAACAAAATTCATTCAATATCTCATATGTTGATGTTATAAATGTTAGCTATAAGTCAACAAAATTACATCTTATATTCAGCGTCAATGAAAACTACTTTATACTCAAATAACAATTCAGCTAGACATTAAAACAGTTGCCCCTCCTCCTCAAAATGTACCAGATATGTTTCTACCACTTAAGACAGGTTTCGCTGTATTGTGGAATGAAATGGTAAGTAGCTGCTCCTTAGCCAGAGCCCCTTCCCTCCCCCTTCAAACCACATCTCTTAACTTTCATTGTGCCCCTATATTTCTAAATCAAATTCTCTTAAAGAAAGTACGTACATTTTCTCCTTGCTTCATGCTTGACATCATTTCATCCAATTTAGCTGTATTCTGACACATGGTGTCAAAGTCCCAAGAGCTGCTTTCAGACAAGTTGCTTCTTGATGAAGTACGAGATTCCATATTATCACTGTAAAAAAAGTAAAAAATAAAAATTCCAATGTTTAGTAAATATTTTGCAAGATTTTTGTATTCTGAAAATATACATGCATTTTAACATGAACCATAGACAAATGCAGAAACAATAATTTGAATGACTTTAGTAACAGTTCAGAGAAGCTTATTGGTAAGTTTATAATTTGAATTCAATTAATATAATTTTTAGAAGTACTGCTTTACCTTTGCATTTGGGAAAAAATCCTAGAAATAATACACTCAATTCCAAATTTACTTTTGTCACCCATGATATTATAAGTAATTTTTCATTCTTCTTTTCATATGCACCTGTCTTCAAACATTCACAACAAATTTTAAAACAAAAATCTCAGCACAACAAATTAACACAATAAATTGATTGCCAAAAAACAACTTAATGAGTCATTTTAACATTTACTGGATTCATCACTTTATAATTCTGCATGAGCTATTTGTAGTGTAACTTCAATAGCATTAATTTTTAAACCTGGTTCATTTTACACCTATTTGATTGATAATTGTAAAAAAAAAAAATCCTCCCAATTTTTCCTGAATCTAATGTATGTATTCAATACGCACATATAAATTAAATGTTACTGCAATAATCTCTTACTTCAGTTTACCCAATTACTTAGGCCCACTTATTCCAAATAAATGCAATTTGTGCTTTAACAAGGTTCTTCAGAATATAAACCAAATATGGTACACAACAAATATACTGGAAGTAGTAATTAGTATTAATAAATACAGAATATAGATGTATTTTTGCCTCTATATAATATATGATTAATGATTACTATGTATAAAAATAGGGTTGGGTAAATCCCCCGCCCCCCAAAAACATGTAAAAAATTCTTGAAAATTTATTAAATGATCATTTAAATATTTTAATGATTTCTAAATTACTTCACTACAATAACATAACAACTTTTATGTATCAAAATAATTATTACAAACTACAATTTAATTCCAACAAATGCCTATAAGAACAAGTCCAAAAAGCAAAGCAAATAAGTACAAAAATAAAGTAAGCTGATCATAAAATACAAACTTCATTCGCTAGCATTAAAGACTCTCCATTTCAACAAATGCAATAGAACCTCTAATACAAAATAAACTTACAGTAAAATGCAAACTTGCATTGCAACATGGTTCCCATTTGTTATATATAACCCAAAAAACCAACTATAACCCAAAATACCCACTGGGTTGGGATGTTTAAACACACACACACACACACACACACCTGTTTTTTTCAACCTTAAAATCATTCCTTTTCACTTTTGGACTTAATTATGATTATAGTAAAATTTAAATAGCTAATACAAAATACATTACGTCCAATTACTAACACAGTAAATACTTTTTACTAACTTTTAGAGAGGACAATGATTCCGGTTTTGGATGAGTGAAACTATGGAATGAAATTTCCTGTATTACAAAATGTAAAATATGTATATATTCATGTACTTATTTTTTCCAAAATATGTAAGAACAAATAGGAAATAAGTGGAATAAAACTTCATTATGGCATTTAAAATTGCACTTCACAAGCAATTTCTAAGTATGCCACTTCACCAATCACATCTAAAAATGGATTTGGAGCAACTAAAAAAGTTCTAGAAGTAATTGTACACTACCCTTCACCACACATATGAGTTTTATTCAAAATATAAAATACATTTGTAGTATATACAATGTTGTTTCCGAGTAGCCAGTACTCAAGGAACTTTAATGTCAAGTCACATCAAAAACATTCCCACCCTTTAAATCTAACAATGCAATAAGAATGATTGGTAACAAATATTTGTTATTTTTGATCCAGTGACGCATGAGTTCTATGAAACACAAGCTAGAACATGGTTGAAATTTAAGTATTCTTCACGAACAACCACTCATTCTTCATCCTTGATTCTGAAATAGGTAGTAATTGGTAAAATATGTAAAAGTATTATTGTAAAAGTATAAAAATATGTAAAATAAAAATGATTCTATTAATTCAGAATGTCTTGTAAACTTCCAAAAATGTTATTGAATGCAGGTATCTTGTTCCTTTGCACGTAAATCTGTTCCTTAGAAATAACCAGGACTTAGATTTCGACGACATGTCACCTTTTCATTGATGCATTCTAGATGCAGCCAACTTGTAAATTAATGTTTATCATGTTTAAGTGATAGAAATGCATAGTTATTTTCTTGTCATTTTTCAATTAGGCCATTTCAATTCAATTTTCGAATAGGTTATTTTTTTGGACTTTGCATCATTTTTGTCATTTTTACATAATTAGTTTCCTTTCCGTGATTTTGTGAGAATGCTTTATGAGAATGCTTCATGAATTTTCAATGCTGCATTAAAACAAAATTATTATTGTATCATCCGATCATGGCAAAATTCAGTACTGCAATGGACCTTTGTTTTTCTAACCCTGACAATTACAATTAATTTTCCGTAGCTCCCCCACCTAACAAAACTGATGGTGAAAGTTTGCAGCAAACAATTACATTTCCTCTTAAAATAAAGACTTTATATTAAATATAATTTTATATAAATACATAGTATTTAAAATTTATTGAATAAATAAACATATTCATAAATATTTTTTAGTATTTTTTTTTATTAAATAGGTCATTTTCCTCTTATTTTTAAGTCATTTTCAAAGAATTTTAGGTCAGCAGAATCCGAGCTCCAATAAAACCAAGTAATACATGTCATCCTCTGCCTAGACTTCTGAAATTTGGGGTGGAAAGGCAAACTCTTAAAACGTTTTATTAACTTTCTAAAGTTTCCCCTGCCTATCGTTCTACTAAATCAACATCATAATTCAGCTCATCATTACAGCTAACGTCTACTCTGTCCATCAATTTTCATGGGCCTCAATGGCAGCTCGTGAAAGGCCCTTAAAACACAATAAATACATAAATAAATAGAGCAAAGCCATTTTCAAAACACCTCACAGCATGAGCAAACCGGTACCTCACTTACAAAATAACAGTAATTATAATATGTACATTTAATACACAGGGTATTCTTGAAAACTGATCAATACTAATCTTTTAAACTATTCAGACACTACTTTAGTTTACTATAAGTTCATAAGTTAATTTTGATGTTCAAAAAATATAAATTTTCAATGTAGCAGTTTCAACTCAGGTGTATGAATATCAACTACAAAAACATTACTTTAAAATTTAACTTTAAATTTGGTTATCGTCAAAATACTTTTATCCCTGCACATTCAAACAAGGAAATGAAGAGAAGGAAGTCAAGAGTAGTTTCTAAACACTGAAGATACAATCA